TTGAGCTCTTCTAAGAAGGCTTTTTGGGCTTCAGACCAGTTCATATTCCCTTTTGTTGTTGCAGATGTGGGTTTGTTGACAATGTTGTCCTCTTCAGAATTTCTGTCTTGATCTTCACTCTTCTCATAATATGAATCTATGGTACGTTTCTTTTTACTCATGGTGTTTCTTTATTCCCTGGCCTTTAAAGAGATTGAGCTCTCCTGCTGGGGAACAGAGGGTACTGACCCAAGCTTCTTGTGTTGGGAGCCTAGGTCTTGGTCACTGGCTTTGCGTGCTGGGGCCTCTTATGCTGGAATTGGAGGCTGTAGGTTTCTGGCAGCTTACCTCTGTGTTGGGCTGGAATCAGCAAGGCTGGAACTTTCAGGCAATTCTAGGTTGCCTGCTTTTCCTTTCCTTTAGCTTTCTTCAGCTCCTTTTAGATGGGTGCTGCAGGGTGTTTATCTGCCTGGGGCCCCTGCAGTGTTGTCTCCCTCCTTTCTGCTAATGCACTGGGAGATTCCTTTGTGGTGGAGTGCCGAGGCACCTGGTGGTTTTCTGAGCTGGTTTCCACTGCTTCCCCCCACCCTCACTGAGGCACTCGGAGGTCCAGGTGTTGGTGTTTGCCTGCTCTACCACCTGGGCTTCAGGATTTCTTCACAATTGGAGGCTGCAGGGCTCTGACAGCTCACCTGGTGTTGGGTTGGAATCAGCAAGGCCGGGGCTTTAGGAAGCCTTTAGGTTGTTTTCTTCACCTCCTTTCAGATGAATGCCACAGGGTACTTATCTGCCTGGGGCCCCTTGTAGTTCTGCCTCCCTTATTTTTGCTGAGGCACTGGGAGACCCGTTTGCTGGGCTGCTGCACTGCTGCTCCCCATCTTTCTTCTAGTTCAGGTGTTCCAGGATTTTTTTCCTGGGGTGATATTTTCTGGGTTTTCAGAGGTTGATAGGGGAGAGTGAGAGTGACTACCTTTTCACTCTGCCATCTTGGCTCCTGGAAGTGGAACCTGTAACTCCTTTCTTAATTAGTGATTTTGTCTTCTAAAAATTAAATTACATTTCAATTATCTTTTTAATTAAAATTTTAAAATACAACTTATTCAGTTACCAATGATTTGTATTTTCTTTCTCCACTTCCCCTCACTCATCCCTCTCCCCCTTATGAGAAAAAAAAAAACAAAGCCCTTGTAATAAACTGACTCAAATCAAGCAAAAACAATTTCCCATATTGAAGGTATACAAAGATGTGTCTCATTCTGAAGATGTAGTCAGTCATTTGAGGTGGGTGGCATTCTCCATCGCTGGTTTTCTGGAATCAGGGCTGGTCATTGTGTTTATCACAATTTGTAAGGTCTTCAAAATTGTTTATTTTTGCAACATTGATCTTGTACTAATTGTTCTCCTGGTTCTGCTTATTTTGCTCTGCATAGATTCATACAAGGCTTCCCTGGTTGCTCTGCAACTATCTCTTTCATCACCATTCACACCAAAATACAGTTACCCAGCATGAAGCAGGTGTGTACTGCTTCAGTTTCCAATTCTTTGCCATTACAAAAGGAAAAGGTGTTATAATTAAAATACATGTGTGTATGTATGTATATATATATGTGCATATATATATGTATTTATATATATATATATGTATATATATATATATATATACAGAGAGAGAGGGAGAGAGAGAGAGAGAGAGTGAGAGAGAGAGAGAGAGAGAGAGAGATCTATATATCTGTTAAACCTTTTCCTTTTTCTTTGATCCCTTTGGGGTAGAGACCTAGATATGGTCCTGCAGGGTAAAATGGCATCACACACAGTAGAATCCCTTTGGAGGCAAAGTCCCAAACTGCTTCCCATGATGACTGGGCCAATTCACAGCCTCACCCAAAGGGCACCAACGGGCCTGTCTCCCTGCAGCCCCTCAACATTTCTCATTTTCTTTTCTGCACAGTCTAGAATTCTTAACACATGAGCCTGGTCCTTTAGTGCCCTAAACCCTGTAGGTGGCGCCAGAGAGCAGCCTTTCCTGCCAATCCTGAACTGCTGGAAATTGGCAAAGCATTTTCTCTAATCTCAGATGCCTCTTTTAAGTTCGCTTTTCACTCTGTCAACGCTGTCCTTTTCCTTAGAGCCAAATCAATGACCAGCCCCGGCATCCTTCCTTAGGCAGCTGTTTTCCAGCTGTTTCCATGTCAGAAGGCTTTGGCTCTCCCTCTCCTCCCCCCCTTATCTCTCTCCCTGTCTCCATATCTCTCTCATCTCTCTCTATCCCTCCCTCTACTTGTCTCTTTCCATCTCTCTCTCTGCCTGTGTTCATCTCTCGCAGACCTGTCTCTGCATATCTCCCTTCCTTCCTCCCTCTATCTCTCTGAGTCTGTCTCTGTGTCCTTCTCTCTGTCCTTTCCCTCTCCCTATCTCTCCCTCTCCCCTTCCCTGTCTCTCTCAGCACTTGCTGGGCTCTGCTTCCTATTGCTTCCTTTTGGGCAGCACCATCTCTAGGGCCCAGGGCCTACAATGCCTAGAATGGCTTCCTGCATCTCTCTAGTTAACATAGCCAAGGTCACTGCATTCCACACTGCCTTGTGCCCTGAAACCTGGAGACTTAAGGCTATATTAAAACTCATACTAAACAAGAGGAATATATAGGCTTTGGGTCCTAGGTATTTTCTCCTTCTCTCTCCTTCTCCTATTTGAATGACTGAGGAGAGGAAATGGCCTTTTCCCTTGCAGGCATGGATGCTGATGGTTGGGGCTGATAACTCAGAATCAGAGACTAAGAGTTCCTAGGTGCCTTAGGTATCTACTCCAACTCCCATCTGAACAACAATTCCTTTTATATCTTAACCATGTGGTCACTGAGTCCCTGCATGAGGACCTCCATCCAAGGAGGGGGAAGCACCATTGCAAGTCTAGACAGACCTAATCTCTAGGTGAAACGAGCCTGTCTGCAATATTCACTCAGGTTCTACTTGTGCCCTCTTGGATTCACCCAAACAATCCTTCAAATACTTGCAGACAACCATCTTCTCCCCTCAGTATCTTCTCTTCCCCCAATTCCTTCACCCATTCTGATCCTTGTATTTTGGATACGTTTCTTTGGACACACTGTCCACATCTTTTCTAAAATGTGGTGGCCCAGACTGAACATAATCCTCCAGCTGGGCCCCCACCAAGTCAGGGTCTTGCAGAACTACTGCTTAGAGGAGTCTAGGGCAGGGGAAAGAGAACATGAAAGAGTGTGAGAGAGGACAGTGTTAGGAGCTGAGGGAGAGAAGGACTGAGTAGGCAGCATCCCAGCCTTTCACAGGGGAGATGTTGCTAAAAGGATGGAAAAATCTCAAGACCTGTCTACATTTTCCCTATAAAAATGGTGCATCAGACAGGTGTGCTGTGGAGAAGGGAAGCACAGTGGGAAATGACAAGGGTTGGGGCTTTTAGGAGAAATTCTTTTAATCTCCATTGAGATCAAAAGAAGAAAGATGGGAGAGGATTTGGTCTGACGGATCTGGTAGCAGAAAATGACAAATGGAATTATTCAGCTCTTTCCTTGCCTTTCCACACAGTGCTCACTCCAACATGCTTTAAAGGGTTCAGGTGTCCTTCACCAGAGGAGGCTCATTCAGGACTTAGATGAGGATCTCTAGAAGAGCCTGGGTTTCAGGAAAGAGGATTGAGTTTGCAATGATAGAATGCAGGTGTAAATCTCAATTTTGCTACTTCCTATCTTTATGAGCTTGGAAAAATCTCTCAACATCGTTGGCCTTCAGTTTCCTGCTCTGTAAAATGAAGGAGATTATCTCTAAGATCCTTTCCAGAAGTAACTTTATATTCTTTTACATTTGGATTGATGGGATGATACTGGGGATTTCCTCCGAGTCAGTCTCAGTTTTCCTCTCCTAACCCGTGAGTGCTCATTCTGTCCAGTCACCAACGTTTGTAGTCTTCCGTTTTCTATTGGCCGGCAGAGCCTCTGTGAAGCCAACCACAAGTTAGGGATTCGCCCCTGTATAAACCCAGCGCAGACGAGTCTTAGTTCTCTCTATGGACCATGGAGCGTTACATGCGCTCTTTCTTTTTGTTGGGGACCCTGGCCCTGCCGGAGACCTGGGTGGGCAAGTAGAGAATAGACTTAAGCGGCGGCGTGGAGACTGGGCACAGCATCCTGGGGTCGAGGTGTGGGTGGGCTGGACTTTGGCTACAGAAAGCTCCTCCGACACCAGCCCAGGGTGGGTTTGCAGGGCACCAGCTCCTTAATGTCAGGTGAAGGAGTCAGGGTGACGGTGAAAGGAAGAAGCGAGGAATAAGCGTGTGTGTGTGTGTGTGTGTGTGTGTGTGTGTGTGTGTGTGTGTGTGACTCGGGGACCAGTCCTTCAGCTGGGCTTTGGCAGGACGGGGTGTTGGTGTCGCTCCCGCAGTTGGGGGGGGGTGAGGACTAGGGGCGTGGAGGCAGGAGAGACAATGGGTGAGACAGTTCTGGGGTGTTAAGGAGCAGAGCTGTCCGGGAGCTTCCCCCCACCCCACCCCACCCAAGTCCAAGGACAGAGAACAGGTAGCACCCTTGTTAAAGATCTTCACTGAGGATCGTGGGGGACGGGGGGGATGAAGCCGGGGGCAGGTGAGGACCCAAAGTGGGGGGCTGGGTGTGAGGAGTGTGAGAGACCCAGGACCCAGACCAGAGGTTGGGGGAGGGAGGCTAGGTCCAGATGAAGGGGCACTAGGACTTCCCTGGGTTGTTGTCAGTGAAGGCTGATCTTTTGCTGATCTCAAAGCGTTATAGTGTCGAAAATTATTACCTCCTAGCACGGTGCGCCATCAGCGTCGGGGGCGGAGGGGTCGGGATACCGGGAGCTAGGAGTCCGGGCTCACCCTTCCCTGTCGGCACTGGGTCCAGGGCCACACCTGCGTCTTGGCTGCAGACAGGCCCCGCCGGGGCCGGGTCTACGCGGTCACCTCCCTGACCACTGTCCACGGCCCGGGTCCACACGTACAGGTTCTCACTCCCTGAGGTATTACTACACCGCCATGGCCTCGCCAGAGCTCGCGGAGCCACGGGTCCTTACCGTGGGCTACGTGGAAGATCAGCAGTTCGTGCGCTTCGACAGCGCCAGCCGGAGTCCGAGGGTGGAGCCGCGGGCGGCGTGAATGGAGCGGATGGACCAGGAGGACCTGGACTACTGGGAGCGGGAGACGCGGCGGCATAAGGGGAACGCACAGGTTTACCGAGCAAGCCTGCAGAACCTCCGCGGCTACTTCAACCAGAGCGAGGGGGGTGCGTGACGTGGGCGGGAGCAGAAGGGGGGTCCGGGTCTGAGCTGCCCCACGGTCACTGCGGCTCCCACGGGGAATAGGGGGGCTTCCGAGGATGGGGCACTGGGCGAGCCAGAGTCCTGCTGCGCTGAGCCGGGCTGGGGGCGGGGCAGGGGTCCACACCATCCAGGCCATGTTCGGCTGCGAGGTCTCCCCCGAGCTCATCTTCAAGCGCGGGTTTTGCCAAGACGCCTACGACGGACGCGACTACCTCGCCCTGGACACGGAGACCTACACGTGGACAGCGGCGGTGCCGCAGGCTGTGAACTCCAAGCGCAAGTGGGAGACGGACAGGAGCATAGGGGAGAGACTGAAGACCTTTCTGGAGGAGGAGTGCGTGCTGTGGCTGAAGAAGTACCTGGAGATGGGGAAGGAGACTCTGAAGAGTGCAGGTACCACCAGCCCGCCCCAGTGTGCGCAACACTCAAGGCTCCCGCCTCCCTTCTCCTTCCCCTGCATCTTCAGCTCCGAGCTCCGGACCCCCAGGGTCTCCTTGTACACCAGGGCCCGGATTGCGGGGTGTCCCCCTGCCCAGACCTGTCCTTGTGCCCCTGCAGGGAAGGGTTGAGAGGGAGAACCTGGAAATGCCTCTGACCTTTGCCTCCAGACCCGCCCGCAGTCCGAGTGACCCGCCGCGCTGGCCCCCACGGGGAGGTGACCCTGCGGTGCCGGGCCCAGGAGTTCTACCCTGCGGACATCTCCCTGACTTGGCTGAGGGATGGGGAGGAACAGTTGCAGGACACGGAGTTCATTGAGACCAGGCCTGCAGGAGACGGGACCTTCCAGAAGTGGACAGGTGTGGATGTGACCTCGGGCCAGGAAGGAAAATACACCTGCCGAATTCAGCACGAGGGACTGCCTGAGCCCCTCACCCTGAAGTGGGGTAAGGACCGTGAGGAGGGGCTGGGAAAGGCCATCCCACAGGCCCCCAAAAGATCAGAGGGAGGTGGAGTGAATGGGGGGAGGTCGGGGAGGGGTTAGTCAATCTTAGGCCCCAGAGGGATCAGGGCCTTTTCACTGCCCTTTTCCATTTCAGAGCCAGAGTCCTCATCTACCCCAGTCATTGTGGGGGGCATTGCAGTGGTCTTCATCATTGCAGTCATTGCTGGAGTTGCGATCTGGAGGAAGAAGACTTCAGGTGGACAGGACTGGGAGGGGGTCCTTAGGGAGCAGGCACCATTGAGATCTTGGCTTCCCCTGACCCAAAGCTTGTCTTTCTGTCCCCAAGACCTCTCTTTCCCACCTAAGGGACTCTAAGATGGGCCCTAAGACTGTGGATAAAGAAATAGAAACCATTTATCTGGAGAATGGCAGGCAGGGGTATAACAGGCTGGCTGAGTGGGAATCTGCTTCAGACTCAGATCACACATGCATATGGGGATCTCTACCAGAGGGCCTGGATGTCTCCCCAGCTAGGGGCTGTAGACCAGCCTTGGTAACCCCTGGAGGCAAGCCTGGAGGTGGGGAAGTTCCCATTGGGGGGCCTCTTTTCTTTCTTCCTCTTGGATCCAGAGGCTGGAGTGGGAAATGGGGATGCAGTCCCAATTGTAATTTATTGTGTCTCCAAGACAAACCAGTGAACTTCTGAGACCTTAGTGTGGTCTCCTCTCCTGGATTCCTCACTGGAAATTTTTTTCTTTTCCAGGCGCAAAAGGAGGGGACTATGTTCCTGCTGCAGGTAAGTGAAGTGTTGATGTGGAGGGTAGAAGGAAGGGCCCAGCCCATGGTATCTTTGAGACCTGAGCAATGGGAAGGCAGAGGAGAGGCTTAGTCCAGTAACCTTCCCTTGGTGTCCCTTTCCCTTTATATACCCTGGTTCTGGGATGTATGTCTCTAACTGGATCATTTCCCTCCTTTGTGTCCAGGCAATGACAGTGCACAGGGGTCAGATATCTCCCTTGCAGCCTGAGGTGAGACTCTGGGGGCCTGGAAGGAGAGAGGGACTGGGGTAAAGGGGGCCAAGCAAAGAGGATGGTCTGTGAGAGGTTGGGCTGAGCACTGGATGGGTGGTGAGGCAGGCCCTTCAGAAGGAAGAGAGGCTGGAGGCCAGAGGGGACTTGGGGAATCTCTCTGAATGTATCTTTCCTTCTTCAGCTTCAGAGAATTACCCGGTACGCACCTGAGGAAGAAAACCAGTCTCCAGTCCCTGTGCTGTTCCTGTGGACCCCTGGCTTCTCTCCCCAGCATTGGCCCCTGGGATCCTCCCTGGACTCTACTGGGCCAAGCCCAGGGCAGCATCATTAGGCCCTCACCCTGTTCTCTAAGGCCTCCCTCCCCTGCCTTCTTTCTTTCTGCCTGTCTCACTCTGCAGAGACAACCAGCAGTGAGGGCCAGAGGGCTTTGGCAATGAGCCCTCCTTCACTTTGGATGTTGCACTGACTTCTGGGATCTTTTTCTGACTGCACAAAAAGCCCAATGAATTATTGTTCTTGAAACTTCAGCTTTTCTCCACAATCTCAGCAAAGCTTCACATTTGGGTAGGTGATTTTAGGGTACAGGATGACAATGTGGAGATGTTCTGGCCATATGAAGGGGAAATAAAAGAAAGTTTGAAGATGTCTGAGAATCCTTTTATTTGCTGTGCCGAGTCTGTTGAGTGCAGGTGGGGGCTGGGCCAAGAGGGGAAGGAGCCTATGGGAGGGCGGGTGTATGGTACCTGGTGAGGGTGCAGACCTCTGCCTTTGCTTTGTGCTGCTGGGGTGCACTTGTGGACGTGGTGTATTGGGACTTGTTCCAGGGCTTCTCCTCCTGAACTGGAACGATGCCCAAGCAGGCAGTTGGCCCATAGGCCGCCCCTCAGCATGGACCTTCAGGGAGTTCCAGTTCTCTCTATTTTGTTGCCATTTTCCTCCCCCCTTGTGTCTGTATCCCTGCTTTTCTTTCATGGCAGGGGCCTCCCTGAGGGCTTCTGTGGCCTCTGCTCAGGGCCCTTCCAGGACCCTGGGGCTCCATCTCTGTTGGTGATGGCCACTGCACTGAGTGACCACCTTGTCCCCTTTTTAGAGTGTCCCAGACGGCTTTTCTTCCCCTCTGAGGAAGGGAAAATTCTCCCATTGGAGTTAATGAAGTAAGGAATATCTAGTTTCTAAGTAGAAAGAAGCCCCTGCCCCTTCTCCGTCTCCCTGGAGTCCTAACCCTGTACATGGTTAGAGTCAGCTGATCTTTCTCCACCTCTAACTTCCCTCCTCCCCCACTCTCCTTTCCCCTTTGGAATGATCCAAGCTGCTAGGGACATTTGCCTTTCCCTCTTTCATTATGCCCCAGTATTTCTTTCCAAAAAAGAGGAATGTTTTAATTATTTCTATTTCTCTCCCATCTTATAATCATGTTTTTCCTCATCTGAGGCCATCCAAGTTTTGCTCACTTGTTCTAAAATCCCTGGTGTGGAAGTTTTCCATTACCATTATTCATTGATCTAAGGAAGACAGTCACAAAGTGGTAGAAGCAGCAGAAACTTAGGTCCTACTGTCTCCTAGCTGAAATGTGATAATTAAGAGAAAACATTCACTACAAATACATCATGTCAGATCCTGGATCATGTTGGGCATTGGCTGCTCAGACCACACTGAATAGCTGGGGCATGGTTATTGTCCCAGAAGGCTGGAGGCCTCTCTCTGAGCATCTTCTTCTCCCAAGGAGGCCAGGGATTTTGTGGTAATATGTGGGTGGAAGATCTCTCCTGGGCTGTAAGCCATCTTATCCCATGGCCAGACATGATTTGGGGACCCTGGGGTTGAAATAGGGAAAGAGCAAGGGAGTGGAACTGTCTTCCTCTCTGAGCCCAGAAGCCTCCTCTTGCCTTGGTCATCCAGTTGTGGAGGATTATACATGGAGGACTTGTCTTTTCTCATGAGACTTCCTGTCCCCACATGGCTTACAAGGAGCAGGACAAAAAATACTGCTTTTATATATCTGATGAATAATTAGTTCACTGAAATATGAAACATCTCTCATAGAGCTGGAGCTGCTTTTCTGACCCTGATCTCCAAACTCTGTGACCCTCAGAGTCCAGCTTTCCAAATCCCCCTCTTAACCATCACAGGTGTCCATAAGCAGGAGGGGCTGCTCCAGGAGGCCTGACCTTGGAGGGACCGAGTGACCAACCCTTGTGGGCTTTGTTAAAGTGTGGATTCCATGCAGGAGTAGGTTTGACCAGAGGGCTCAGATACACTGCCTGCTGCCTGACTGCAGTTGCTGCAATGCTTTGGAGCTAGATTAAAGTGTCTTTGGGAGATATTTAACAAAGACCTGAATATACAATAAAGCAGATAACATTTCATTTTAAACTAAGTCAGTGTGTGGCCTGCAGTGATCCTTAAGTACAGACACGTGGCTCCCATTCCTATTTGGGGGCAGCCAGGTGGTACAGTGGATGGAGTGCAGGGACCAGGGTCAGGAAGACTCATCTTCCTGTGTTCAAATCTGGCCTCAGACATTTACTAGCTGGGTGATCCTGGGCAAGGCACTTCACCCTGTTTGCCTCAGTTCCCTCATCTGTAAAATGAGCTGGAGAAGGAAATGGCAAAGTGCTCCAGTATCTTTGGCAAGAAAACCCCAAATGGGGTCACAGAGTGTTGGACGGGACTGAAAATGACTGAATAACAACAACAATTAGTTTCTGTTTGAGTCTGACATCACTGGTTAAACCAGCTGACCTCTGAGGGCCCAAAGGACTCCCCAGATTTTGTGATGTTTATTTTCCCCACACTTATGATGGATTCATATGAAGGAGTTCCCTGGCCTTTGCTAGTAGCCACTCAATACACATAGGATCATGGAAGGATGTTGAGACTGCCCATTGGGAACAATCATTGGGTCAACATCCTTTTAGAACCACATATGTGTGTGCTGGGGTCAGGGTCTGGCAAACCAAGGCCTTCCCATCCCAAACCTTAGCTTGCCCTATAAGGACCTTGGCTTTGCCTTCTTCCTTTCCTAACAGTCTCCCTGTAGCTCATAGGTTCAAAGCAAGAGAACTGGTTTCTTATTAGCCTTAGTATCACTGGCAATGCAAATGTTATTCTCATTTTACTGAGGAAGAAACTGAGGTCCAGAGAGGCTCTTTGAGGTGCTCAGAGCCACACACCGAATGAAAGACAGAGTTAGGACCTGACTTCAGGTCTTCTACTCCACCATGGGGCCTCCCCAAGCCCAATATTCCAAATGCAGCAGCAGCCCTGGGTGAAGCCTGGCCTGGAGAGACCTGCGGAGGTCTCACTCTGAAACCTTCCTTCTGTGTCTCCATTGAATCCCTTAAACATGGGTACCTCATTCTGCAGCTCTCCTTCACCTGAATTCCCTGTTTCTAGCAGAGATCTCCCCTGGAATCTATAAATATCTCTGGAACCTTCAGAGAAAGGCATAAGCAGGATGGGAGGGGAGAGAAGGGTTCCCTGTGTGTCACAGCCATGTGCTTCCAGCTCCTGTGTTTGCAGCCCCAGGGCATCAATGGCATGCCTAAGAGCAACCCACCTGGCCCTGTCCAAAGTTAGGGTAATATTAAACCAGGAGAAAAATTGCTTTTTCTTCGGCATCCACGTGAGATGAAATTGGGGCCCACAGTCCTCATTTGCAGCAGAATGTGGGTCTAAATTTCAAAGTAGTGAGGTGCCTCAGTTCAGTCTCTGATTTAGAGTCAGGAAGACCTGGGTTCAAATCCCATCTCAGACACTTTATAGCTTTGTGACCTTGAGCAGGTCACTTACCCACTCACCTCAGGTTTCCTGAGATAGGAAGAGAAATCGCACCTCCGTCCTATGGTGGGTGGGAAGGTTACATGAGATCATATTTAGAAAGAGCTTTTGCAAAGCTTATTATAGAAATGAGTGCTGTCATTATTATGGCCTTCAAGTGCTAATTCCTGTGATTCTTCTGATTCTAAACAGTCATTCAGTCATCATGATACTCCTTGAAATGATGACTTTCATTCCCTTCCTTCAGAGCCCTAAGAATGCCTCCCAGTGTGGAGGAGGCATTGGTCACTTATCTCCTGAGCAGGGACCCTCCTTCCACTAAATGGATATCCATGTACTACAGGATTTAGAATTACGAGCAGCTGGGGGCACGGTCCTCTGACAAACCAGCACCTGAAGCCTCCATACTTCCTGGTGAGCTTGAGGACTTCACAGGATCAGCAGTCCAGAGTCTGAGGAGGCCTCTGAGGCCATTGGCCCCAGCACCTAGAACAGCACCTACTCAATAGTAGACTCAATAAATACCACTGGCGTGACAGACTCCAAATCCCGAATCCAGTCCTCTGATCTCTAGAACTTTTCTATGAAAGTAAAATCTGCAGGAGAACATTATACACAATAATAACCACGTTTTCACTCACAAAAATCAACAAAATAAGGTCAAGAATGGAAGCTGCCAGTTGGGAGAAAAAAAATCTTTGCATCAAATATCTCTCATGAGGATGTGCTATCCAAGCCATTGGGAATTATTAGCAGACAATGAATCCCCAATGAATAAATGGTCAAAGAATATGAATACACAATTCTGGGAAGGAAGTGTATATTGTTAACAACTATATGAAAAAGATTTTAAATAACCGTGAGAAATCAAATCGAAATAAGTCACTTTTCAGCTCATATTCAGCACATTAGCATAGGTAACAAAAGATGGAAATATTCTAGACAGCATGATGTAGTGGAAAGAACTCCTGCTGTGGATTCAGACGACCTGGGTTCAAATCTTTATGCTGCCATTTCCCACTTGTGTGAAACTGGACAAAGCACCTGACCCTCCTGGGCCTCAGCTTCTTCACCTGCAGAATGAGGGTGTTAGACTCAATGACCTGAAAGTTTCCTTCCATCTCTAAATTTCTGATCCTCAATGTTGAAGAGACTGTGGACAGGCACAAGAATACACTGGTCATGGTGTTAGGAACCATACCATTTTGGAAAGCAA